AAGGTTGGGGGGTTACATTAGGCATGGCACGAGGGGATTGCAGCAGTATGCAGGGATCTGGGGATGCACGGTGGGTTCAGGTTAACCGCACTCCTCAACAGCCACAGTTCCACTGGCGCCCGAAGAGCCCGCGCTCCTGGCTGCCAGGGTCCGTTGTTCACAGTCTGACCCGCCCGCTTGCCGTCCACCTCCCATCGCACTGGCTAGGTGTGGTGCGTCCCGCTGCGCAAGCCGGGGACGGCCGCGCCCGCAACTTGCAGGCCAGACAGGATCCGCGCCCGGCTGCAAACCGTGCTGGCGCAGCAGGTGCGGGCCAGCGGTCCCTCCAGCTCAAGGCATCAAATACAACTTGCTTATCCCATGCGCATGTGCTGTTTTTGCATTTTCGACGCTCTCGGGGCATGGCTTTTGCGTGCACACCACCTGCCTGTCCGCGCCCACCTGTCAACCCACCCTTCGCGCCTTGCGGCACAAGCAAATCCATCCTTCCGCACAACGGAACCTTTGCCTCGCTGTCGCCCAGCGTGTCGCCGAGGACTGCGGCCTCATGGGCGTCCTGCCCAGCCACTGGGTCGCCCCCGTTGACGGCGTCCTGCCCGGCAGCGGCTACCGCATAACATGGGACGGCCTCTGGGCGGAGCTCTCCCCGGGGGCCTCCCTCGAAAACCTCGCAGCCCACGGGGCGCCGCCGGCGGCGCCTGCAGCCCTGCTCGACCTGCTGCAGCGGCGGCTGAGTCAGCGTGACGTCATCAACGCGTCGGTGTTTGACCTGCTGACGAGCCAGTGCGACAGGCACGCGGAGAACGTGTACGTGTCGGCGGCGGGGCAGCTGAGCCTGATCGACAACGACCAGGCGTATGGATCGAGTGAGTGCGCGCATGCATCAATCAGATTAAAAGCATGCCAGTGGGCCCGCCCGCGCCTTTTGAAGCTGCGGCCCCACGCTGCCCGCGCTTATTGTTGGCGGGTGGCTTTGTCCGCGCACGGCTGCGATCACAGCTCAGGATGTGAGGTTCGTGCATGTTACCGATTGCCCGAAATCCGCTTGTTTCCAGCTCCCCGGCCCCTGCTCTCCCAACAACAACTCATTTGCAGGCTGGCGCCCCTGCGGCGTCGACTCCATCTTCCTGCCTGGCACCCAGAAGTTTGAGATCTCGAGGCTGGGCTTCAATTACGTGATGAAGGCGCCGCACGATAGCCCCGCCCAGGACTACTCGAGGGCAGCCAGCCCCCTGCAGCTGCTGGATTACCGCTGCCACGCGCCTGGCGCGAAGCTGGGCACCGACTACCCGCCCCAGGTGCTGCGCAACACTGGTCGCTTTCATGGCTTTACGGGCGGGGTGTGTGGGCACTGGCGAGGTGCGGATGGTTCTGTCTTGGAGCGCTGCCTCCATCATCAAACCCGGATGCAGATGCAGAGGGCCCTTGTGCGCGACATTCACAATTGGCTGATCAAGCAACGTGTCCCCGCACCGCCTGCAACCTCCACCTCAAAGGTGACGTCCTGCCTCAAGATGATATCGCGAATGACCAAGCAGCAAGTCCAGCGCCACTACGGCTTCCCCCAGCTGGCGGCCGCCGCGGCCCTCCGCCGCCGCGCGAGCGACATGCTGTCCCGCGGCTTTGAGTGGACCCTCCAAAACGGCTGGCCCCGCAACCCGACGCCCGCGCGCTACCGGTGGGCGCCGCCGTGCTGCAAGATGCGTGGGGAGCAGCCGCTGCCAGGCACGAGGCCGGTGTACGCATGCGTGAAGTGGGAGCGGGGCCCGACGAGCCTTCCGCGGGGCGAGCCGTATTTTGGAGGGCCCTGGAACGCGAGTTCGAAGGACACGGGGAGCTATGCGCTGGGGGCGCCGCCGCGCCCGGGCCATGTGTGGCCGAAGGGCTGGGCGGCGGGCGCATGGCTGGGGGATGACGATGGCGGAGCGGACCCTGGTTACGCCCCTATGGCGCAGGCACACACACTCGAGCGTTGACTTGTAAATAAAAATTCATCATAGCATGCATGCAATGACAAGGGTCGATTGACGTGCAGAGTTGTCCAGTTGTGGTCGTGTTGGTTGTCCCATGACCTGTGGACCCCGGACAGGCTGGGAGGCGGGAATTCCGGGGGTGTGACAGGTGCCCCATCCGGATGTTGGACTGCC